CGTCAAATACAGAGCCAGCCAACACAAGACAACATAACGCAGGAACCCGTCAAATACAGAGCCAGCCAATACAAGACAACATAACGCAGGAACCCGTCAAATCTGGAAACCATACCAACAAAGTTCGATAAAGGAATTGAGTTTCTGCCACAAATTCAAATTTTCGAATCCCTTTATCTGATAGTGTAAACCATTGACATTTAAATTAAGATTATTCAATCTCACAGAATTCCTAGTTTGAACTATCTTAGGTCTACGACATTAGGTCGCAAAGATATAAGTATGAAAAATTAGAGTTTGTGGCAAGAACTCAATTCTTCTCTAGAAAAAAACAATCACATCAAATGAAAGTAAATTGCGCGTTAAATTGGATTCTAAATGTTTTAATCATAACGCCCTTTCTACATAATTGGATATAACATTGCTTTTTACAGAGCTACAAGTTCACAAAGTCTCACCAGTAGTGTCGTTTAAATTTGACTTTCTCCTTATGCCTAATTCAGTTTGCAGTAAATTAAAATTTTGCCAATGCTTCTTTGAAACTTATCAGAAACCAAGTTTTCAGTGTGTACAGCTGAAATCCTTCAATTGAAAAGTTAGTTCTGTGGACTGTGAGTTCCGTACAGGCGTTCAAGAGATTTTCCAGCCAAAAGAGTTTACCTTTGACCAATGTAAACTGGTCTATGGCTTTATTTCCCGAGTGTATTCAGTATTCAGACCAATGAGATTCAAGAATTATATTTCCCTGCTTCCAGGCCATACATCATACACGAATAGATAAAGAAATAGATAGATAAAAAGATAGATAGATATATAGATAGATAGATAGATAGATAGATAGATAGATAGATAGATAGATAGATATTCGATTTATGTGTATAACTATATAGGTTTATATTGTATGCTTTGTGGAAAAAGAAACATACATTTTTAGATTAATCTTTTAATGCTTTTGCATATTTTGTTATCACTGTAGTTTCAGTAGAAGTAAATATTTACATTTACTGTTTAGCCTCGGTATCTGTAATTGGATGATGAGATTGATAGAAATATAGGTGAACTGCCATACTATTTCTATTGGTTCAGAATAGGCACCATAACACATGATTGGATCAGGCGCTAATAGAATTGGATACAAGTGTGGTACGTTACATTTGTCTGCTGTACTTGCATTTATTTTGTTTAATGAATTATATCCATAAATACTGTGACAGTTAGCTGACCAAAGTTGTAACTGTACAGCGTACTCTACCTGATCAGGAAATATTAAGAATTTAAAGTTAAAAAAAAATTCATAAGTGACCCTTTGAAGTTATGTTGATGGAATATACAGTTCTCAACAATACCCTTTAAACCTTATCTGTTAAACAGTTAGTTCATTTTTCAATCTTAAAAAGCATTAGCTAATTTTTCTATGCCGCATGTCGCTATAGTTTCAGTAGAGGTAAATATTTCCATTTACTGATAGCGCCAATCGAAGGATTTATATCTAATTGGATGATGAGATAGATAGAAAGATAGATGCTACCGCCATACTATTTCTATTGGTTCAGAATAGACACCAAACACATGACTGAACCCTGATTGGATCAAGTGCTAATGGACACGGCATACAGGAGTGATGTAACCAAAAATCGCTTTAATATAAATAATAAATTGTCAAATAGGAAAACAAGGATATATTATATATTTCATTGATCTCTGATCAAAAATATACATGAAAAGCATGCAACCTAAAAGGACTTTAGAAACCCCTCAAAGGGACAGAATGGCTATTTAAGGTAGTTGAACTGAGTATGCAGTGTTGTGGACAAATTCATTAGGGTGCATTTGAGACTTATAAAAATTTTCAAAGATTTTTTAATCCTAAGTTTGAGCGCAAAATCGACGTTCAAAATCGTACGTTTTCAAAATTGTTTTTTCATTATTAAAAAACGAAGACAAAAAGTGTAAACAAAATTATACAGTAAACTAATTAGTTGTTTAGGAACTGGTAAAGAAAATAAAAATTAATCTTATCATCGAAAATAAGTAATCTTATTCAATTATTAGTTTCTATAATCTCTCTCTATTCACAAAGATTTTCTGCAGATTTTCTGGAATTTTTATCAAAAATACGAAATTTAAAGAATTTGTAGAAATTTGCGAACAAATTCATATTAAATAAGAAATTCAATAAAATAATGAAGACTAAATAATAGAATCTATCATTGATTTATTTGCAAATTTCTTTTGAGAAATATGTTCCTTAACATCTAATTAGTTTACTGTGAAATTTTTACTTAATAATTAAAAAACCCCGATTCTGAGAACATACCCACCCAAATTCATGATTTTGAACGTCGACCATGCGCTCAAACTCAGTAATTATACATCGTGGAAACGTTTTATATGTCTCAAATGAATCTTAATGAATTTGTCCATAATACTGCATGCTCAGTTTAAATACCTTACATAGCCGGTCTATCCTTTTAACCCAAATATATTTTGATATAATACATATGTATGATTTTATACCTACATTCCAAAAATGGTCTGAACCCCTTTCAAGCCTGCATGCTCGCAAAATTCTAAAATATTCGCATTGCAAAACATAGGTTTGCAATGCAGTTTTATACGTAAACCTTTGTTTCTGCATGCAAACAATTTTACCCTTCTTTTGATGCAAACAAATCTTTAATGGTGAAACTTCTAACTTTCTACTGCAGAGGAATATGTAAAATCTTAATGATGGACAATGCATTAAAAAAACACTTAAAGGGATCGTAGACGAAGACGATTTCAAATGACCTTTAATTTTTGAAAATTTGAAAAGAAAAATATAAAAAAGCTTGCAACCCAAGGTATCAACAATTACAAGCAATTCTGTAATTAAAATATGTAAGCTCATAAAGAACCTATAAAAGTTGACTCTATAATCTGTGATTAATAAAGATTACATCAAAAGTATCACTTTCACTTAAACTTTTAACTGCAGTCCCTTAAAAGTCCGAAAAGTAAAGCAGCGTGAAGTGCATGAATGTTGTGCTCATTATTTTAACCAGGATAATTTAATGTTCGTGCTGAAATGTTTAGAAAAAAAGTCTGATGTAAATCATTTGTTTAAACCATCTGTTATATTTGCCCAGGGTTTCTGCTATAAAATAGATATGTGCACAAAACAACTCCTAGATATTTAGATAATTCAAACTGGAATCAAGCTAAATAATTTAGATGGGGTGTTTTTCACAATTTGTATTGTATACGTATGTATAATTAAACCTTGAATATTCGTGTTTAATTGTTAAATACGATATTATGTACTTACAAGAAACATTATTCAATGCCACACCTCCACGTCAAACTTTAATTGATCTTGAATGTTTTGAAACACCCTGAATATTTTTAATGATTTACCATATCTTGCAACTTTTCAATCACTCCATAAGTTTTTTATTGTGTATCTGGACACCCTCTAGGTTTAAGGACATCCTCTTTTAGGACATATGTTAGGTTTAAAGTCTACGATTTATCAACCGTGTAAAACAAGTCTCATACCTTTTGAAAACCACTGTACGCCTCCTTCAAGTTTATGCTGTGGGGATTTGAAATATTATTTTACAATTAACCAAAACCTAATATATAGTCATTAGAAGAATGTTAAAGAAAGATCCTTTAATAGAAATATTCAATATAATTAAAATCAAAACAGGTATTTATAGAAAACAACAAAAATACATTTTGCGGATTTTTTAGTTTTCTTTAGCGCATTTCCGAAATATTTTAAAGAACGATAGTTTTGGACGCAAAATGTTTCGACGCGTTGGGCAAAATCTTTCCTTTAGAACCAGGTTCTGCAAAGAATTAATAGATAATCCGATCGGTTCAGCCGTTTAGACGTCTTTTGTACACAAACAAGCTAACAGCTAAAACATTTATATATGGTGTCGAGGTTTCTTTTACGGATATAATATATTTCAGAGATAGACGTACAGTTTGGTTTCACTATTTTCAATATTAAAAAAACGGTTTTCCAAGTGTCAAAGATCAGATTTGTATCGACAACATTTTTCAGATTCTTTCTTAAAACTGACAGATTTTACTGTTTAGTTTAACACCCTGTATGCTTTGTGTCGCAGATGTGAACCAATAAAACGTATTTGCATAAAAAGTCCGTCCTCCAAATGAAAGAAGCGGGTATGCATAAATTTGAATATGCGCTGTGATTGGTCGGAGACTGGCGGTGAATATTCACGCGGGCTCTGATTGGTCCGCTGCTCTCGCTTTGCATGACTAGATGGAAAAATATTTTCAAACTTTTAAAAGTCGTGAAATATTTCAAACATTTCTATCAAACCCTGTTTTTCATCTTTCATTCCGAGTTGAAACTTTAAAAATGCCGATGATAGAAGAATTTGTTGTATATCGGGGATTTGCAAAGATAAACAAATTAAATTAAAACATATTGAATTATTACCCCCCCCCTTTTAATTTTATGTTGGTCCTTCTTTCATTCACAATCTGATATAATTTTTTATCTCACCCATCCCCGAATTTATTTCAATATTTGAATTCTAAAAAAGGAAGACAGACAAATTTGCGTGAAAAGATTAAATTTTCTTTAATCCTTAAACACTTTTATCAGATTGCCTTTGTGTGCATATCCGTCAAATCTTCTAGGACGCTATCCATCTATCTATATCAAGGCCATTACCACAATTCCATTGAATTACACATTTTTAACCGTCATTTTTGCGCCATAAAACTCATTTGGTATTGTCACCCCGCCTCAATTAAAGGTTATTATCTTTATCAACTAGAATATTTAGTTTAATTTTAAAATGAAATTTCAGCTTATTTCCTGGCTGGGCAAGGGGCCGGATGTTATGAAAACCAGGGAATAAAGTTCTACGCAGCAGGCCCGGACTGGCCTATAGATCTTACGCGGTTTAAAGATGAATTTTAGCGGATTTCTCCGATTGCTGCATGGAGCATCGGTACTCAGGCAGTTGAAGAATGACTCTCAGTGCATTCGGACGTGTGAACTAACTCTCGCGCACTCTACACACTACCTATCTATTTATTCAAGCCTCAAAAGTGATAAAAATAAACGTGGATTAACATGAAATAATAAAAAGTCCAGTTAACACTTCCTAAAATCTGCAAGGTGAATTTTAAAAATGAATTAACAATTATGATATCTGAATTAGATCAATTAAAAAAGTATATTTCTGCAAAATTAAATGAATGAATATCTGGTGACACTGTTTCTTATATTTTTTTCTTTTTTTCTCTTCTGAGGAATGCCAAGCAAGAGATGTAAATAATAGAGTTGTAAAGTTCAAATTTCCCAAAGTATTGAAATTAAATTCGCAAAAAAATAAGTATACATTAAAGTTTTCTTTCCAATTTTTTATAATATTTTTCTTAAGTTAAAAAATGTGCCTTCCTAAGATTTTAACTCAATTTTATAGCTATTTCGGTTTTTGAATCTAAAAGATATGATAAGAAAATTGGCATTATTTACGCAAATATTTTATTAAATTCACCAACAATAAAGAAATTTGCATAATTTTTGCTGTAATTTTCACAAAACATTTAAATTTTGCACAAATTTGCTATATGACTACACCCTGGATTAAGTTAATGGGCGGGTTTCATGAATTATTTATGGAATATCAAAATGGTGGATTATATTAAAAATGGCCGAACTTAGATTAGACACGGTGTAAGCTTATCTACTGAAATCTGCTCAATACTATACATGGTAACTAGAATAAAAAACTTTTTATTTTATGAATATGAAAATTAGCTAATTGCTAATAGAAAAATTGTAAGCTTTAAGTTAAATATGGATAACCATTTTGTCCAATCCCATGTCTCAATACTGAGTTTTCGTCTCTAAAATGCGCGCACTCCCATCCCTAAAATGGACATGTTAATCATGAACTGTATATACAACAGTGTATTAAAAAATCCGGAACTAAATTTATGACTAAACGCACAGTGGTTTAACTGGTAGGAAAAAAAAAATGAGTTTTTTAAACTTAGAACTAAACGCACAGTGGTTTGACGCACGGTGATCTGAACGATGAAACATTTCACGCAAAATTCAATGAAAAATTTGGCAATTACTTTTTGAAAACTACAGCTGAAAACTAGGTCTGTATAGGTTTAAAATGAATAAGTCTAGGGCTACAAAAAATTTCTGTCAAAAACGTGGTTTTTGGTGGCAGATTTTCACTTTTCTTTGCCAAAGAATATTTCAATATTCTTACTTTTGTATATGGACAAATATTGGCCATTTTCTTGTTCTTATATAAAATACTATTCTTTGTATTTATGGATAATACTGACTCGTTTGCTATTCTTGATTTAAAAAAAACTTGAATTATATATTGAGAAATATTTTATTAAATGGGTCTATGAATTATCTGCCCTATTTATAGACATATATACAATATGAGGCTCATCTATCAATCCACTCTCTACTTCTTCATTAGGTTTAATCTTTGGTTTTAATTGCTTTTTCCTTCGAATGATTTAGCATTCAAATCCTAGGATTAGTCAGTAGGTCTAGGCATAGTTGGTGGCTATTAAAACATATTTTACAAAAACATGATTTACAATATTTTGTCTATTTTGTTTTTTAAAAAACTACTACCACTATTTCTATAAAGAAACAATATTCATTTGATTTCAGTTTAGATTTCCATAAATTAAATTCCTATCAATCCATTTTAGTTTGTTCCTGTAAAATATGTAATAAATATGCAAAAATTATTAACTCTTGAAATTTTTTGCAGAAATGTTTGCTTCATTTTCCCAGCTAGTATTCTCCCCAGATTTAAATCTGCATTAATTAGAAGTCTGATGGGTCCTGTCAAACCCGTCATAACTATTCCTCTCGGTATATCGTGGGCCCTGAAATTCCCGTTGAAATATTGAGCCCTGAACTTACTTCCGGTATAATGTTATGAAATAACATTCTGTGATTCTAGGTAAAAGATTTCACGGCTGTAAATCGCCTGTTTCTAGTTTCAGTATAATTGAAACCTTTATGTGATGAATAATGTGGAAAATATTGCCGTTTTCCTGCAGTAGAAATGCGCTAGTCACTTCTGTAGAAAATCCACATTTTAAAGTCAGTTTACAAAATTACAAACTATGATATCAAATTCATAATTGATTAAACAAAGCTTTTAAAAAAGCTTTGTGAATCAGGATTTTCATTGAAGGTGGGGGGGTGATGTATTCATTATTCATAAAGGTGTATATTAGAAGATGAAATTATGCATACTCACACCTTTTAGCATTCAGGGGTTATTGTTTAGCATAATAATATAAATAATTGATTAATCAATTAGCAGAATAATTCAGGACATGAAGCATACTTAAATATCTGCAAAATAGATTCCTCTACGCCGCAATATTATTTACAGGGTGTCTCTGAAATGTGGTAATATTGAAAAATGTTAACAGGGTGTCCTGGGATATTGATATATAATTATAACATAACAAAAATGATAAATGTATTGATAATAATTTAGATAATAGGAATAATAATACTTTTAGATATAAAAATAAAAGTAAAGTTGATAATAACAATTTAATTATTGAAAATTTTATGAGCATATTCTTATGTTATCCAAATTAATCTCTCAGTTATACTTATGTATATTTAAAAAATAATGATAAAGAAAAGAAAGAGAAAATAATGTAATTTTTTTTTTTGGATTGTTGAGTAAATCATTATGTTTGGAAGTGAATAGAAACTTAATATGAATGTTCAGTAATGAATTTACGATTTATTTAAATTATAAGGAGTGAATTGATAATGAATATATATATTTAGGAGTGATGGATAATGAATATATATATTTAGGAGTGAATGGATAATAAATATATAAATTTAGGAGTAAATGGATAATGAATATATATAATTTGGAGTGAATGAATAATGAATGTATATATTTAGGAGAGGATGGATATAAAATATATATATTTAGGAGTGAATTGATAATGAATATATATATTTGGGAGTGAATGAATAATGAATGTATATATTTAGGAGAGGATGGATAATGAATATATATATATTTAAGAGTGAATGGATAATGAAGATATATATTTAGGAGTGAATGGATAATGAATATATATATTTAGGAGTGATGGATAATGAATATATATATTTAGGAGTGAATGGATAATGAATGCAAATGAAGCCCGCCCTGTTTTCCCCTTCTACCCTTTCCAGGGATTTCCATTTCTCCCAAAACTTCCAGGAGACACGCCCCTCCATCCCTCAAACCAGGACGGCGGGTTTCACCATCTAGGACGAAACTACCACGCCCCACAGAGCCCGCCCTCCTCTCCTCCTGTCGGGGCCGGTTCTCTAGATTTATCTAGAAAAAATGAACGGATTTCTCCAAACTCATTTTCAGGTAGAGAATTTTTCTTTGTAAAGTGACTGTTCACATTGATTCAAGAAATCTTCTATTTAAAGAGGTCAACATTCTGGATTCACAACGATACCCTTTACAGCTTTATCAGATATTCATCATTTTTGCTTAGACAAAAATGAAAAGGCCGTATTGTTGCAAATATTGCGCATGTAATTCATGAAGATTCCCTTGGATAACGTGAATAGTCCCTTTAAGCTGGTTGGTTATTGGGAAAAGCCTGTGATTGAAAAGTGTTATTGAGATAAATGTCGACACATTAATATTGAAATTTAAAAAATGGCGTTAGCTTTATTTAAAATAGAAAGTAAGGATATAAATTAGTTTTAGCAAATATTCAAAAACCTTTTAGAATGTGTCCACCTGTTGAATTGGACCTCCACCTATATCAATTACATGAAATACACACTATACATCCTCACCAGTTCTTTTATCATTATCGTGCACCCAGTCCTATTGTGAATTCTACAAAACATGGCGTTACTATCTGTTTATCTATCTATCTAACAACCCACCCCATTATTGTATCTATCTATCTATAAACATGAAATTGTCCCAAGTGGCCATATGTTAGAATAGTTTAGGAGCAAAGTGGTTTGTTTATCAATCTATCATTGGTTTTTATTTATCTTACTAAACATGCCTCGTTAGCATAAATGTACTACAGTCATACCCAAAATACTCTGAAATAGGAAGACGACTTTTAGACTCAAGTAATGACTTTAACTAGTCCAATTAACATAAAACCCAGAATTTGTACAGTGTGAACAGACCAAATTCACTTAATAAGTGACTTGATAAGTCAATAGAAAACCTTGTAACCACATTAAACACATAAAAATTATTAATTTATTGTCGTCTTCCTTTTCTAAAGTTTTCTAGTTCTTACTGCATAATAAATTTTTTCTCTTAATTTATGCAAAATGAAGACATATATTTCTATTTGTAATGCAATTATATCTATCCACTATTTTTCAATCAATTTACTTCTAAAATTTCTCTCTCGTAAATTTTCTTTTGTCTATTCTATTCAAACAATGGCGACCAATTCAAAAAATGAATTCCCGCATTTTAAACAAATTCCAGGAATTTTCTTGCTATAGATACAATTGCCGTTATTTCTTAAAGGCATGCCTATCAAAATATATATTTATATCTAAAAATCAGTTTCACTTATTATGATCAAAAATGTACTTTTTACAATTTTTTCAATCCCTAATCTATCTTTTAACAATATTCATTAACGTCAAAAATCATCGGGAAAATTGAAAGAGAATCCTTTTACCAATTCCAGAGAAAAAACTATTGTTTTCTTTGACAATGCAGTACACATGCAAAGTGGTCAAACAAAGATAGGGATTCGGGTGTATTTTCTTGCTTGGGGAGGGGGAGAGGAGGGAGAGGTGGGAGGGGGGAGGGGGGATGGGGGTACTTGTTGTAAGGGTTATTATAGAACAATTCAACATAAACACAATAATAACAATTATAAACGTTTACTCTGTACAATGAGGTGTCACTAATCTCCAGCAATAAAAACTCAAGACGAAAACTCTTTTCATGACGGGGGTTTCTACATTTTATTTTTAAAGTTTCTAAAAGATTTTGTCAGACACTGTTTTGCAACTATTCATAATTTGTTTGTTGTTCATTAAAAATTTACGTCAAGAAGAGAACGAACTGTTATGAACGTTTCATATTCCTTCAAATAATGTATATTTTCTCATATAACTGCGAGATCACAAATTCACACCAGTAATTTCGCATTAAAAAAATATGAATTTTTTTAGATAATGACGAAGAGGTGGATAGCAAACCAGTTAGAGACATTTTTCAGCAAGAAAATCAAGAAAAAGGTAAACAAATATTCTCAAAAAAAAAGACTCAAAAGCTGTAGAAAGGAAAGACGACATTTCAGATATCTTGTGAGTTTTTGATGTTGTTATAATAGAAAATAGTAACTTGAAAATCAACTTCTTAAGCGAAATTTGTCTCTGTAGAGTGTTTACATATTACAATTGTTGTCTTTTATATTAATTGGACTATTTAAAAATCATATTTGTTGCTATCAGTCGTCTTTTTAACCCACTGTCACTGTTAACATTTTATTTTGATAAAATACAAAACATTTTTGATGATGGATTGTGATTAGAGGTTTGTTTAAGTGGTTTTTCGGTTGGGATGACAAAGCATTTTTTAAAAATACTTTTTTAGAAAACATGAAAACTGGAATTGAAAGCTTCCAGAACAATCATGACAGATCAAGATCAAGATCTAGATCCTCAGTGCGATCACGATCGCCGGTAAGATCCTCGCCCTCCAGGTCCCGTGAGGGGTCACCAAAAAGTCCCCCCCGAGGAGGGGGTATACTGCCCCCCTATCCTTTTGGACTTTCCAGAGAAGAGCTTATTCAACCTTTGTCAATTCCTAGTTCTACCTCACCAGGCTTTCATCAGGTATAACAATAATAACAATAATAACCAAACAAAAATGTTTATTTTTTTGTAACATTTTAAGGATTTCTTAACACTATTTTACGTGAAACTTGCTGTTACTTACGAAACAAAAAACGATAGGAAAACGAAAAAAACGATCGTTTAAAAACGATTAACAACCCTAGCTATAGCTAACGTATGAATATATTTAAATGAGCGGAGTGCAATTTCTAAATAGTAAAACAATATTATATCAAAGCGGTAATATTTAACACTTGTTTTTTTAGATTCCTGGCCTTTATATGAACACAATGTCTTCCATGCCGCAAGCCTCGATCAAGTCAGAACAAATGGAGAAGTTTCTAGCAGATATACCAACCTCCCATCCCATGTTCAGACGTCCTGATTTCTCATCACAAAATCTGTCTGAATCGCAATATGAAAATCTACCAAAGAATTTTAGCAATCCACTTCAGATACTCACAGATTCCGTGAACGTTGCAAAAATGGAAAATCCTGCAAAAATGGTCGAGAATCCGCTAAAAATTATGGAAAATCCGTTGTTCTCCGCAGCCCTGCAACAGCTGGCCCGAGATACGGAGGAAAAATCCCGAAACCTCTCACCAGCTCTCATACAACAAGCACAAGCAATACAGTTCCTAGCACAACTTCAAAACCTGCTCCTACTCAACCCACAGCAACAACAACAACAGCAAAACAACAACCCAAAGGACCATCTTAAACACAGTAAAAAGGTAAAGAATATTCCCGCTTTAAAAAGGCTGTTGACCTAATTTCAAGTTACCATCTATTTAAAGATAATCATTTAATTGACTTACAACGGTAAGTTTTAAACCCTCATCTGTGAGAGGGGGGGAGGAATTATTACAATATTTTTTTCCAATATTTTTGACAATTTTGGTTTCATTAGAGATCACTGATTTGCGGATTTGTTCAGCAGCCCTTTTCCAGATAGTGTAAAGACAACAGCTTCCATATTATTGCTTAGAAAAGGGTTTATAGGGTATTTTTCTAAATCAGACATGCACTCCTTTAATGGAGGGTCGCTTGAAATCACTTTGATACTCCCTTTAAAAGCTAAACCTTTTGGGCGGTTTAGTACAATTATTATTCTATAAAAGAGAGCGCGGATGTGATCAGAATTCCAAAGTTGTGCATCCTACGTTTTCCGGATCATTTTTCAACGCTGAAACGTGCGTATGCGCGCATAAGCCTCTTATGGGCTAGAGTGGGCGCGAACTGTTTTGAATTGTAAATAGCGGACAAACAATGCAGAGCTGAAGGGATAATGGGGGGCTGTCAGCAGGCCAACCCGTCTGAGAAAATATTTAAATTTTCTTGTTAAAAATTCAAAAGTGCTCTGGCGTATATATTCCATATTTGTAAACTTATGAATTTAACCTTTTATTCTTTATATTTTGACGAAACTTTACAGGAAACAATGAATTATGGGGTTTGATACGTAAATGGGGGTGGGAGGGGGGTAGACAAAAGACTGAACAAATATGCATAAGATAATTTAGCAACAGTACCGTTGAAAGCTTTGCCTGATCAAGTATGAATTAGATATCAATGTTTTTGTTTCTTTACCCTGCACTGTTTAATTTTATTTGCTGTTTCTCTGTGAAAGTGACTTGCGCATTTTAAATTTATAAGAATCAATGGAGAAACTCACAGAAAGAACACATTTTTGAGTCAGAAAAACGAGGGGGGGGGGGGGGGGATAAAAGATATTTCTGTGAGAGATTATTTGTGTTTTCTTGACACCTTGATATAATTTAACCCTGCCAGGACTAGAGAATCTAAATTATATGGAATCTAACCTAGGAATGCAGGACTGCTCAGTGCTTACATGCAGTCACTCTTGAAACTTAAATATAAAACGAATATCTTATAAATAAATTAAAGAAAGGGCGGCTCTTTTCTTTAAAAGTTTAAAAAAATTATTTTTTTAAGATGGGAGAGCAGATGAGATATGAAAGTCCCCTACCTCCCTATCCAACGTCATCAAAGTTTTCCGCCCCCCACACTCAACCCTACCCCTCCCCCCACCCGCCCTTCCAGTTCCCGCCCACCTCAGGTAACGCCCATCCTCTGGGCTGGACGAAACTTCACCAAACAGCTCGTCGGCCGAATCGTCTGGATTTGCCGCCGGACGAATCGGCCAACCTGGAAGAATTAGAATCCTTCTCTAAAATGTTTAAACAGAAAAGAATAAAACTAGGATATACTCAGGTAAATGATTGAAGAGATTGTTCAAGAATTTTAAATATTTTAAAATTTTTAATGTTTTCATTTCCACCTGATGTTTGAGAGTAACGGAAAAAAAATTTATTTGATATATTTCAAGACAAATACTTTTACATGACATACATGATCGAAATACAACTAAACTTTTAATCATTTCTAACTAATTTTTGGGAACCCTTCTCTTCTTTAAAAATTTCATAAGAACATTTAAAATATAAAATTTGAGAATAAGTTTTTAATTTAACCAACCAAAAACTATTTAACATTTAACATGTGTACAATTGGTTAATGCTGTAATAAATATAAATAATATTCATTCTATTGAATGTTTTAAAATGTTTTGCTAATTCTGTTTCTTAAAGAAAAAATTAAATCTTTATAAATATTTTTTTGTGGACTCCCTTTTGACAATCATTCAAAGAAAATCGACAAAGGAATTGAATCTTTGCCACAAATTCTGATTTTAATCTCCCGATATCTGTGCAATCAAACGTCGTATATCTTAGATGTTTTAAACTGTCATCAAGCTTCAAAGATATAGGGATTAGAAAACTTGAGTTTTTTAAAAAAAACTCAATTCCTTTGATGCAATTTAAATCTTGATAAGTTTAATATATTTCTAACTTATTTTTAAATATTGCAGGGTGATGTAGGACTAGCAATGGGTAAACTTTACGGAAATGATTTCTCCCAGACAACCATCTCCAGGTTCGAGGCTCTCAACCTCTCCTTCAAAAACATGTGCAAGCTGAAGCCTCTGCTGGAACAATGGTTGAAGGATGCTGATGCAAACCATACAACACAACAGGTATGTACATTGTACACTGTTAAAACTCTGTTCGTCCCAAAAGCGTAGATTATACACTGTTAAAACTCTGTAATTTCGAGATTGTACATTGTACACTGTTAGAATTCTGTAATGCAATGGTTGCAAGCTCTAAAGCAAAACTGAATGAGAATTTCATCGATTACTTCTTTAAAACCAAAGATAAAAAGCAAGTGGTCTCATTTTCCTACATGTACTTGTAGAGGGCTACAAAAAAGTGTAATTGAGTCAGAGAAAATAAATCAAAGGCTAAGGCGTAGTGATACTTCAAATTTGACTCAATAATAAAAAGTCTGGACATTCCTAAATATAAAAAAACATAAAGTTCTTGATTCGCAAATATTTGATGAAGAAAAAAAGCTCTGTTATTTAGTCTAGTTTATTACCAATATATGTCTGCAACTTCTCCCCCCCCCCCCCCCTACATACATGAATGAAGAAAAGAAATTGTTTCCTCTTGATTGATTGATTGAATTCTTGACAACTTGATTGATTGATTTAGACTCAGTACATGAGCCCCCACCTACTCTCCCCAGCTCAGCAGGAGGCGATTAACCGCCGGCGGAAGAAAAGAACCTCCATCGATACAACTATTAGGTAGCAGCTTTATTTACAATATTCAATTATAAACACATTTTGAGATTTGGAATTTTAAAATGAATCTGATGAAAGTAGTAGTATAGGACACCATTAAAATAGGTTCTGTAAACTAGCCATGTCGATTTTACAAGGAATCTTTGACAAAAAACTGGAAATTTATAGTTTCTATATCTTTGCGACCTGATGGTGTGAACATTTGAAATTTCAAACTTTGACTATTTTATCTAACAAAATTAATAGTTTAAAATATCCAAGGTCCAGGACATTGAGTTGCAAAGATAAAGGGATTAAACAATCAGAGTTTGTGGCAAAAACTCAATTTCTTTCGTGAATTTTATAATTATTTTTCATATACATTGATTATATCAATATAATGAAGACGATTTCAGATTTGAATTTTGATTTATATCAAGCTTTTAAACAGCATGAAGGCTTCGAAGAAAGCTTCGAATTCTCGTAAGCTTGTAATTCAAAAACAGCTTGTTTAAAATTAAAACTTTAATAAAAAAGTCGTCTTTTTTATTAAATTAATCGCCTACCGCCGTATTCTTTTATTAATACTTATATTTTTACATTTTTCGTTTTTTTATTTTATTTGATCTAAATAGAATAGCCCTGGAGAGAGCCTTTAATCAGAATCCTAAACCTAGCAGTGAAGAAGTTTATTATATATCAGAGTCTCTAAACATGGAAAAGGTAAATATTAAAGGCACAGTCGGCGTAACAAGTAATTCTTAAAAGGAATTGTTGACGTAACTAATCTCATCATTTAAAGAGTGCCATAAACGATTGTAAACAGATCCACGTAATCTTTTGTAAATAAGTAATGAATATTTTATTTTTTTATGCAATTTATTAATAAAGTTCTACACTAAAGACAAGCCAAGAAATTACTGTTTTTTCTAACCAAGGAAAAAATTGTATAAAGGGTATACTTTTGTTAATCGTGGATGGACTTTTTCTATTAATTTAAAGGACGTTTTGCTTCGCTTAATTTTAACACCCGCGGTTAATGGAAATAGAATTTGATAGAATATACAATTATTAAAATTATCAAACTTTTCTAATTTCAAGTATCTCAATGTTATATATAATTTTTTCGTATTTTGTTATTGCTAAATATGAGTTGTGTTTGGAAGAAATGTGCTATTTGAAAAACATACATTTCGGAAAAAGAAACTGTAAAATTGTTCTAATTGTGTTTAAGTTTAAAAAGAACACATTGTTTAAAACATTCAAGGAATTTCCGTAAAAAATGTAGGGTAACTCCTCTAATTTTCCAGTTTAGTTTAGTTAATATGAAAAATTAAATGTTTTAAAATACGAATTTTTTTAAATTGTATTCCATAAACATTACACAATATCGATCTTTGAAAAGAAACTAATTTTTTAACCCTTTTCATAATTTTTTTCCTGATATTCAAATAAATTATTAAATGTTTGGATATTAAAAAAAATTATAAAATGTTCTGATATTAAAAAAAATTATAAAATGTTCGGATATTTAAACAAACTATAAAAAGTTCGGATATTTAAACAAATTATAAAATGTTCGAATATTTAAACAAATTATAAAATGTTCGGATATTAAAACAAATTATAAAATGTTCCGATATTCAAACAAATTATTAATTGTTCTGATATTCAAAAAAATTATAAAATGTTCCGATATTCAAACAAATTATAAAATGTTCAGATATTCAAACAAATTATAAAATGTTCTGATATTCACATAAATTATAAATTATTCTGATATTCAAGCAAATTATAAAATGTTCTGATATTCAAATAAATTATAAAATATTCTGATATTCAAACAAATTATAGAATGTTCTGATATTCAAATAAATTATAAAATATTCTGATATTCAAGCAAATTATAAAATGTTCAGATATTCAAACAAATTATAAAATAAACAAATTATGAAATATTCGGATATTAAAACAAATTATAAAATATTCGGATATTCAAACAAATTATAAATAATCCGATATTCAAACAAATTATTAATTGTTCTGATATTCAAACAAATTATAAAATGTTCTGATATTCAAACAAATTATGAAATATTTGGATATTCAAAAAAATTATAAAATATTCTGATATTCAAACAAATTATTAAATGTTCTGATATTCAAACAAATTATAAAATATTCGGATATTCAAACAAATTATTAAATGTTCTAATATCAAACAAATTATAAAATATTCGGATATTCAAGCAAATTATAGAATGTTCGGGTATTCAAACAAATTATAAAATGTTTTTGAGTTTTTCAATGCTAATTTATTTATGTCTTTAGGAAGTTGTGAGGGTTTGGTTTTGTAACAGAAGACAGAAGGAGAAGAGAATGAATCCTAATTCTTCAATGTATGAAGGGTCCAGCCCTAGCAGCTGTTCTTCACCATCCAGGTGAACATTATCATCATTATTGTTGTAATCATTCTGCTAGATAATTAAAGAATTGATTTCTTAAACATTGAATACCATGTATTGACAAATAAAAGCTTATATATTAAACTGATTCCCATATTTATTATTATCATTCATTGTTTTTATCGTTGCAAAGTAGTTTTTTATCTCCGTTATATTTTAAATATTTGAATTTTTTCAAAAATTACTGTATCTCTTTTTTTTAGAAGTAATATGAGTCCAGTAGGTGCTCAGTCCTTTCCTCCTTACAGTGTATCCCCTCCCCCTCAATCCTCCCCTGTTCCATTAGTCTTCAACCATAGTATATTTGGACAGGAGAATACATCATCACATTCGTGAACAGTTCCTTTAAATGTAAAAAGATTATTGGCGACAGTCAGTTTCTCTAAAACACCAAAATAGTGGAGATTCCCTTTAATGCACTTCAAAAATTGGTTTTAACCCGGAGAAATATGTAATGTTAAGTGATAAAGTTTTACGTTCAAAATTTGAAAAAAATTTCCTCAAAAATTATTTTTTTCTAAAAGTTTATATTTTTTTTCCAAGGGGGAAATGAAAAAGATAAATAACCTTTTATTCCGAAAATATTGGCTCTACTTACTGTGTAAATGTAAATTGAAAAGAATTTTAGGTTAAAACAAAATAATTTTCTTTCATAAGAATCTCCAAAATCAGTAATTTTGTTATTGTTATACTTGGGTAAAATTTGAAATAATCTATTCTTGTTTTTGTTTAACTGTAAACAAACTATTTAGTATTCACCCTGTAGTAAAATATCCAAAACATCCCAGTGATTCAGTACAATATTTTGTGATTAGAACACTTTGTAAACTTATTGATCAATTGGGTGATCATTTAACTTGATCAATTGGTTGATCATTTGATTGATTGATTGATTAATGCGTAAATAAATTCTAAAATTGGTCAAATTTTAGACATGTAAATTCATTCTACTTAGGAGTCTAGTTCCTATAGATAATTGTTTCCAATGTATTTGTTAAAAACTGTTTAGGTTAAAAGTTAAATATTATTGATATTATATAAAATATCGAGAATAAAGACTGGAGACAATTTCGTTAAAATCCTTTTCATTTTTTTTATTTTCATATTTTTTTTTTATTTTTAATTTGGCTAAAAGCTGAAATTATCTAATTCCTAGATGTCTGTAACCAGAGGCCGAAGTTAAAGAATTTGAGCGGAGGCTTAAATATGGTTGGTTCCACTTAAAATTGTATCAAATGTTTCAAGATTTAAGCCGGCGCTTAATTTAAACCGGGTTTTGGCGGATTTAAGCCACAGCTCAAATTCTTTAAATTCGGCCTCAGATTGTTTAAACCTTTGATATTTTAAACTTAGATTATTTAATCTTACAGAATTTATAGTTTGAAATATCAATAGTCTAGGAAATAGAGTTGAACAGAATCAGAATAAGAAAACATTCGTAGTCATACATTAAAGCAAGAGTTACAACAATTGGGAAAGGCAAGAAAAAAAAATGCAGAAACTAAGAATTTTTAATGCAATTTGTTTTAAATTCAGAAATAGGTTGTAAATTAAAAAAAAAAAAAACATTTTTACAATGTTATTTTTGAATTTTTGAACCCTCCGAACGCCCTGACTATTTAAGAGTTAAAAAATGTTTAGAAACTTGACAATGAACATGATAACATAACATAGCATCCTTGGCATTCCCATACTTTCGCTCCGAATATTTTTTCGTCCCCCTGCATCCAGTTTCCAAAAATGCGCAAATATTCCCCTCAAATGATGAACATAAAAACTCCTCAACTTTACCCTGATTTATGTCTACCAATGAATATTCAATAATCAGCAAAAAGTGGCTAAAACCTAAAAATAGCTGAAAAAGTTTCGACCGTTACGAAATTTTGTTGAATCTGCCGCCGACGACACACTTTATAACAATATCATATTTTGCATCCCCCCTTCCTTAAACCTTCACAACCACCCCCCCCCCCCTTCAACCACTTTTTATCCGCTTTTCTGGCAGACATTTTCAGGGGGTTTTTATAGGTTCAGATTAACCAAAACGAAATTTGGCAAAAGAAGAAGAAGCAACACGCAAACAGAAAAACTTTTAAATCTAACAAATCAAAAGTCTTGAATAAGAAAACTGTTTCTGCGCCCTGTTGTATCTGTTCTTTTAGCCACCCACACACTCTTTTCAACCTAATTCCATGGGTACCATCTGCCCCCCTTCCCCCCCCCCCCCCCACACACAAAGATAAATATATAAACTGCCTTTTAAACAGCCCATTACTGCCATACACTAGAAACATATGAATATGGGGAAAAAGTTTCATTTTCAAAATTCCATATTGTGTGAAACCTTTTTATTCTGCATATATTATTTAACTTTTTACATGCATAACATAACTCATTCACACAAATAGTAAAATGAAGTTAATAGGAATTATATTTTAGAATATTTATAAGCTTCCAGAATACAATCTGACTTTAAATATAACAAGTTTTCTTTGTAAACATTATAAGAAATAAGAAATTTCGTGGATTAATCTGTCTTCTTTTGTGAATTTCTAATTTAAGGTAATTTTTTCAAATTTATAAGGAACATACTTTTTGCTGGGATCGTGTTGCATACAGTTTGGGCCCGATCGGTTCAGACGTTTATCAGATACTTACATACAAACATTCAAGCCACATATAAAAAATGTATTAAAAAAAACTACCTAAAGGGCCCGGTATTGCCCGTATAATTTGAAAAAAAACGAATTTTGATGAGGAAAAAAATTCAGACTTTAGAAAAACAAAATTTATAATTTTTTGTCTACATTACCCCCAGGGTAACCATGGGCTCCCTTAAAAAATTTCAGCCAATTTGATCCAGCCATTTGTCCAGCTAGAAACCATATGAGCGAAGATTTATATATGTATAGATTTGCTGCATGTATTTTGACTAATTCTGAGCTGAAAAGTTTAGAATGGTGGATATCGAGATCAATGCTTGATCTCCTGGTTTTACTAAACCCGAGATTTTGTTAATATGCATTCGATATCCAAGAAAGAAGTTAAAATTCAACCAATCAGCGTGTCATGTAAAAAAATTGGTTTTTAATTTTTGAGCATTTCTGTTGTTGATGGTGTCATATCTTTTGAACAAACGTAAATTTTGGATTAATGTTTATTAAGACTAACGTTCAAAATGACTATATATAGTCCTCAAATGTGATACAAAATATTTTGAATACGTTCATATATATGCATGATTAAGTTTATATTTGTTTAGATGCTCTGAAAGCCCGCTTGTGAACAGCTGACTTTAGTTCAATAGGATATTAGTCCAATAGATATAACATCGTTTAAGGAGTATTTAAAAAGAGAGGATTTAGAAGAAAATCAAAAGTGTGTCCATTGGATACTCAGATTAAGAAATCGGGATTTAAGATATCTCATTCTAAAGTTTTCAGCTCTGTCTACCCAATATTTTATTCTTTCTGCCGCCAATTATCCAATAATAAATTTCTCCAATAATAAAATATTTCTCATTAAATCTTGTTGAAAAGAAAATATCTGATTAATTTTGTATTTAACAGGTGAAAAAATGTATCCTAATATATACAGACTAATTAAATATTAGGGTGGAAACCATATTCGTAATTTATAAATATCGCTTTTATTATAGAGAACTAAATTTTGGTAACTTCAAAATGTTTTTAAATTAAAAAGCTATCATGATTAGCCTGTTATTTTGTTTTAGAAAATGATAAACAAATGAAAAATCGATATTTCGGCCAATCACGAAACAAGAGTTTATTATAAAATTTATTAATTGCATTTTCCAACATTTTCGTGAAAAATTAGGGATATTTTTCCCTTAATTGGTTTTCGAACTGAATGGTAAAGATTTTTAGTAATTTGTAATGAACAGGATTTAATGATTTCTAGAATTANTTTTTTCTAAACCATCGACATTTGTTGAATATTTGGGTTTATGTATATTTTTTTCTTAAAAATCAAAAATAAACTTTTTCGACTATGTATAAAAAACGTTAAAATCTGCTGTCAAGCTACACTTTTTAACACCCCCCCCCCCATTATAGGGTGCCTGTCAATACCTAAATCTAGTAATACATCTTTTAGGGTTTGTTTCTCTAATTTCGATCTGAATCCAATTAAAAATCCATCCTAATCCAGCCCAAGGTTGTAATGCAAGGAAAATTAATTGCAGTTGAGTTACTTTGCGTACATATTGAAACCAGTTCTCTCTTGGCGGAATTTGTAAACAAGAATAGATGCATCAGTGTTCGTTCAGTATACGAGAAGGTTAAAAGCATTAAATTTAGATAATTTTGATAATTCACTAGTTTCCTATGACCAGAAATTTTTATTGATTTTTTATGTGAAAGATGGACCCCATGTCAGGGGCTGTAACATCCGTCTTGTATTTACATTACCGCCCAGAGACAGTACACTGCAGTACAAAAGATGCGTACACTTCTAAAATAACTTTCCTTGCATTACATCCTAATTCAGCCAATCTTATACAACGAATACACTAGCTCTAGAAATTCATCTTATTCTTGATATATAATCTTACTTATAAGACATCTTATTTTAGCTATACTAATTTAGATATATCTTATAGGGATAACCATAAAAAATGGAATATGAAGACGACATTATATAAATACTCAAGTGTATTTGATGTTGTTACAAAGCACATAGCTTTACCAGTAAGTTATTAAATCAAAGTAAAATGGGTCTTTTCACACTGCACATTTGCTGTGTATTATGCTCATTGGACTATATAAAGCTTAAACTTGATTCCAAAAGTCGTTTTCCTATTTCAGATTTTTCTGGTTATAACTGTATTCTAGCTATATTATCTTAAATCTATTCTATTGTATAAACTAATCGTTTATCAATTCATAGACAACATAAATTCTGAGCTGTTTCATCCTTATATTCATATTTTAGATTCATATGTAATACAACCCTCAGAAAATCCCTACAAAATTGTTAAATCCTAAATTCAATGTATATTTGATAGATTGAATAATATGTATTTTTAAACAATGAAAATTCAAGATCATTGAACAGACGGGCCTATGTCTCATCTCAGCCCATTGTGGAAAACATAAAAAAAAATCAAAGCCCCCTACCNTATTAATCCCCCCCCCTCCCATTTTTTTAAGTTTCTGGTTTTAGAATATATTTGATATTTAAAACAATAGAACTGATGAGATCTCTCTGTTGAGCCTAGGAACTAGGAACGGTTGGAAAAATCCGAGAATTATCGGAGACAAAATCTACCAAAAATATCAAAAAAATCCTCAACCGCACATATTCAAATCATTTTTCATTTTTAATAAGGTCGGGTTTTTTTCAGAGTAATTTATTACTGGATGGTCAGTGAATAAGACATCTTTAGATCATAGAATTCAATATTGTCAGAGTTTGCAACTTTTGAATTGACGAAACCAATTCAAATTGGTTTTAAAAAAGGGTGAACTTAGTATTTTCTCACGTGATCA